GGCTGGCCTCAAACTCATGGCAATCCTCCTGTCTCAGCCTCCTGAGTGCTGGGACCACAGGCGTGCACCACCACGCCAGTTGACTTGTGTTTTAAAAGGACAGCTCCACTCCCTACACTTCGAATTGCTGCAGTGGAGTCAGATATTCCCACCACCTCATGGGACTGCTGTGAACATCTAAGGGGAGAAGGCTGGGTAGACATTGTACCAAAGGCCCTCCGTGTAGTCATGGTGCTTTGGGAGAAAGAGGCCCACCGCGTAGCTCATTCCCCTTCTCCTGAGGGGTGGGCAGGTGAGCCAGGTGAGGACTGTCCTCTGCACAGAGTCCTGTGCTCTACAGCTTGGGATCTGGGACTCCCACACTCTGCCTAGGTGAGGTGCCATCTGGCAGGTGGGTAAAGGACACGTCTTTGCACTGTGAGTGAGGCTGGGTGGGGCTGAGGGCTCCCCAGGATTTATTTGTTCAGCAGCACTTGTTAAGCAGCAGCTCTGTGGGCCAGGAGCTGGGACAGAAGCAACTGGGCACGGCAGCAAGGAGCAGCTCCATCCCTGCTGCTGAGATCAGTGTTGGGTCCGTGCAGGAGTTAGATATTAGCTGAAGATCAGGCTGGGGAGGGGTGGACTGGGGGGTCAGGCGTCCTCTGTGGCTGGGGCAGGTCACCGAGGAGGCTGGAGGAGGAGGCCAGGGAGATGGGTCGGGCTCGGCCTGCTGGGGGGCGGAGGCGTAACAAGGCAGGAGGAAGAGCAGGCCTGGCTCGGGCCTGACTGCGTGGAGAACCGACCGAGCAAGACGCGAGCAAGACACCACTGCACTTTCACACGCAGGTGATGGATAGCGCGAACTCCTTTGTAGAAACAGGAAGTTCTTGGCACATTTGCGGAACAGAAAGCAGCGCACTGCGTCTGAGTGCCGAGTAGCAAGGAGGAAAGCGGGGAGAGTTTCCAACGTTGCTGATGACACAGGCCCGGGCTGGGTGGCGCAGGCCTCGGGCCTCGGGATTGTTGCTGAAACGAGGCAGCCGGTGCGAGCACGGCAGAGCTTCAGGTGGGGTCCGTGTGCGGGCACGGAGGTCTCAGGGCGGCGGTGCCCGAGCTGGGGAGAGGGCTCTCACAGCGGTTTGGAGACCGGGATGTCAGGACTTGCCGCGGAGGGCGGGGGCTGAGGGAGGTTAGAGGGTGCCGAGGTGGTGGCACGCGGAGGTGAGGACTGCGAGGGGAGCCGGTTCTGGGAGGGGCGGAACCAGCGCTGTGTCCTGGCTGCCTCTGCTGGGATGCCCGCGTGTAGACATCAAGTGGACGGCTTAGGATGCCATTGGGACTCAGAAAAAAAGCGAGCACATACGGGTGTGACCTGTCACCACGCGCGGCACTGGAAGCCCAGGAGGGCTGGGCTCTGCGGATGCCACCCACCCTCCGTGTGCAGAGCCTGGACGAGAAGCAGCCGAGCAGTGCAGAGGGGCGAGGGGAGGGGAGGGTTCGGTGACCTCTGTAAGCCCCGAAGGAGGGAGTGGCCCCTACCAGGTACTGCTCCGGACGAGCCCGCCAAGCACAAAGACTGCCACCCGACTAGGTCACACGGAGGTCATTGGTGACACTGCAAATTGGGGCGAAGAGAGGGCGAGCACTGGGGTCGGGGGCAGAGCTGAGGCCCAGCGACGAGAGGACACGGGCACGGCTGTGCGATGCGCTCCTCTGCAGGGAGCCGAGCAGCGGGCAGAGGTGCCAAGGGAGGGACATGCACAGCCCGACCGGGAGCCCCCCACAAGCATGGGTCAAGGCCCGAGGGGACAGAACGGCCTCTGGCTGGACCCGCACTGGCTTCTGCCACCGCCTTCGTTCCTGCTCCCCAGGACTCAGGCGCCCCCTGCAGTCAGTGCGAGGGAGGCAGGCACATTCTGCGTCACTCAGGCCCAGTCCTGACTGGCTTCCCCTCCTGAGTGTCAGCCCTTCCTGGGGGGTTTTGTTGCAGGAAGCTGTAGCAGACCGGATGGAAAACGCTTTGCATCAAGGAGTTGGGAAGGCAACTTCTATTTACACCGGAGAGCTGATGGGGGATCGCTCCCCAAACCAGCGGCACTGGCTTAAAGTAAAACAGCAACTTACATACTTTTTGTAAGCAGGAAATACAGAGTCGATAATGGGTTAGTCTATAATTGGTTCCTGGGCTGGGGATATAGCTCTGCGGTACAGTGCCTGCCTGGCAAGCACAAGGTCCTGAGTTCAACTTCTGGTACCAATAGATAAATAAATATACATATAGGTTAGTTTATAATTGGCTACATATATTTAGTCATACGTTGTCTGGTAGATGTGTCTGGGGTAGGTGTAATTGGGGGGGTTGTTCATCATGAGGTGGGAAATGGGGTGTGTGTGAGAGGTTGGGCAAGCAGGCCCGACTTAGTGTGACCCTGACAGGGCTAGTCTGCCCCTTGAAGCAAACTCACAAAACAGAGTATTCATGTAAGCTATTGTGCAGCTGGTCAGACAGAGCCGAGTCCATTGTCTCTGAGTTGCAGCTGGGTAGTCAAGGCCAACTGAGTCTGACAGCCCCAGTATGAAGCTATAGTTTTAAAAAGTTTCCCAGTCACAGTTGCTCCTGTATGGTCACAGCAGGCCTGCAGTCTCAGAGGGGCTGAATGAGCTGCACAAGCACCAGGCAGGGGTAGCAAATGGCAAACCAGGCCTCGAAGCCGGGTCTTTCTGCAAGGCCCAGTTTCTTAGTCACCCCCCGCGCCAACACCCACAGGCCCTCACTCCCCTGAGAGTCTTAGCAAGGCCCTGCGGGGCTGGGTTACGAAGGCAGAGGGGCTCCTTCCCTTCACAGCCACCGTCCTACCCCAAGCACTCTACCCCCCTGCAATGAGCCTTTCCTCGGGTCCCTTGCCGGCTGCTTTCTCGCCTCTGGAGACGGTGAGCTCACTACTCCAGGGCAGCCCGTTCTAGGCAGAGGATGGTGCAGCAGTTCAGAGCATGGGTCCAAGCTGAGTTACTCTTGGTGAATCTTTTATTTTGCAGGGCTGGGACAGAACCCAAGCCTTGTCCGTGCTAGGTAAGTGCTCTACCACTGAGCTCCCAGCCCCGCTTTTGCTGAATCTTAACTCTGCTACTTACTAGCACCTTGCCTTTTCCTCTGAGTGTAATAATAGCAGTACCTCCTTCCTCGTGTGACTGCGCTAATGGAGACACTGCATTCAGGGTGCTTGGCAGGTGCTTAGTGGTCAGCTACTTCGTCATCATGACTGTCGGGGATATTTTCTGGGGTGTAGGTGTCACTGTAGGTCTAGCTCTGCCCTGTCCAGTTCTATCTTCTCTGCTTGCCTGCAGGTTATCCCTATTGTCCTGCCTTTCTTGATTTTTCTTTCCTCTTGATGCCAGATTTTCTTTTCCCAGGCTCAGCTACTCACCACACAAAGCCTGAGATCCTGAGCCCAGGGTTTCTTCCTTACAGAGGCACTGGTTGCTCCAGGTGGGCGAGCTCCAGGCTGCAGGTGCACTCCGGGGTGGGGCTGGGAGCTGCGAGGTCCCCTCCCGCCCTCGCAGGCAGGCTTGTTTGCTCCCAGCTTTTCCGGTCCCTGGATGTGCATTTGGGTCCCTCCCACTACACTCCCTGACCTTCTACCATCTGCGCAAGATTATGTCAGGATGAAGAGCCTGGATTCTGAGCCCAGACAAAGCGAGGTTCAAATCCAGACCCTTCCCCTTGCTGGTAGCGAGATCTTGGCTGAGCCACTTCATTTCCCTAAGCCTCAGTTTCCTCATCTGAAAAATGAGACTAATAGTAATCTTGCCTACTTGACAGGCTGTGGTGCAGGTTAAGATCCTGCACGCAAAACACTCAGCAGCCTGCCTATCACAGTAGATATTGGGCATCAATATTCAGGGCTAATGTCTCACATTGTACGCGCTAGCCACATGAACCCTGAAAATATGGCTAGTCCAGTTTAAGATGCAGTGCATGTCAAGTGCACAGTAGAATTCAGTTTAGTACAAAAAGGTGAGCCATCTTTATAACAGTTTCTTTATGATGGTCATATATTGCCCAGCACAGTGGCACAGGCCTGTAATCCCAGGATTCTAGGAGGCCAAAGCAGAAAGATCTCAAGTTTGAGCCCAGCCTGGTCAACTTAGTTACTTAGTAAGGCCCTGTCTCAAAATAAAAAAATAAAGGTCGGGCATGGTGGTGCATACCTGTTATCCTAGCACTCGGGAGGCTGGGGCAGGAGGATCCTTGTAAGTCTGAGGCCAGCCTGGGCTACAAAGTGAGTCTGAGACCAGCCTGAACTGCATAGTGAGACCCTGTCTCAAAAAGACAAAAATAAATAAATAAGACAAAAATTAATTAATTTTTTTTA